TTTTTTCTCACGGCTAGCAAGTGGAGATGTCCACTTGCTTTTTTTCTCATGGCAGCAAGTGAACATCTTCACTTGCTTTTTTTCTCATGGCAGCAAGTGAAGATGTCCACTTGCTTTTTTTCTCATGGCAGCAAGTGAACATCTTCACTTGCTTTTTTTCTCACGGCTAGCAAGTGGAGATGTCTGCTTGCTTTTTTTCTCACAGCAGCAAGTGAACATCTTCACTTGCTTTTTTTCTCACGGCTAGCAAGTGAAGATGTCCACTTGCACTATTGTCATAGTAGGATTGAATGGAAAAGGCTGGTGCATAGTAGGATGTCGGTGCCATCTTAGTGTCTCTACTACAGGCATAGTAGGATTGAATGGAAAAGGCAGGTGCATAGGAGGATTTAAGCAAGTGAGGATATCCACTTGCTTTTTTTTTCACGGCAGGCAAGTGAAGATGTTCACTTGCTTTTTTTCTCACGGCAGGCAAGTGAAGATGTCCACTTGCACTATTATCATAGTAGGATTGAATGGAAAAGGCTGGTGCATAGTAGGATTTAAGCAAGTGAGGATATCCACTTGTTTTTATTCTCATTCACTGCCTTGTACACTTGTGTGAGCACGGAAGTGTGAGAAGACCTCCAGACACTGCCACAGTTCTGGGCGAGCAGCTCACCCAGAATGTTCCCACAGGTCACAGCCACAATTCTGGGCGAGCAACTTGCCCAGAACATTCCCACGGCCTCCAAGTACTGCCACCCAGACCTTCCCTATGGTCACACTGGTACATTTCCTTTTATGGGTGCCATGGGAGTTGAGATTCCAGACTTGTACCCAGCCATCTCCATTATGGATGCGCAAAATCTGGACTAAGTGGTTGTTATTGTTGCAAGTTGATTTCCGGAGTAGGTGATCGGATTTGTGGTTATGTCCATCACATGTGACTTTTGTATTGTAATGGTAGCTATTTAAATTGTGAGGCTATGCAGACACATTTTTTTCTCTCACTGGGGTGCAGGAAGGATTGAGGTGGGGGGAGGGAGGGCCCGCTCTTCCCTTACTAGATAACAATCCCAGGTTCTCTTACCTGTGTCCAAGGCAGGGTTGTGTTGTGCCCGATAGCGCACCGTTGGGATATCATAGCACAGCATCCCTTGGAACCCTGCATCCTTCCCCCAAGTCGAATCCCTGGTGTGAGCCTTTTCTCTCCTATTTCATTGAGAGCTGAACTTGTCCAGTATAACCGGCATGAAGGTGGGGAGTTGAGGGAGTCGAGGGTAGTAGACCTCTAGGTAGGAACCCTTTGATGTATCCAGCACTTACATCTCTCATTCCCGCGCAGCATTCCCGTTCAGCATTCCCATTCTTATTTTGTTTTCCCCCCACTTTGGCGTATCTGCTGCTCCCTGGGAGTCCCAATACTTTGATGTAAAGGGATCAGAGCACATCCCTCAAAGTGTTCCCAGGCAGACGCGTCATCGTGGCTTTTTCTTTTTCCATATCTCTCTTTTTTATTTTCCACGATCCCCCTTCTCAACTCAGAACATCTGTTTCTTGCCGTTGAAAACGTCGGTCTCAATTTGTATCGATCACTGAATCGTCCGTATCAGTCTCGGCCGCTGAAGTTTCCGTATCAGATCCTCTTGGGGAATCCCTTTGACGAGAGTTCAACTCCGTACGACTCTTCACTTAATTTTTCCCGCTTCCAGTTGACTTTCTGCCCTATTTGCACTCAACCGCATTTCCAGACTCTCATTTAGTTTTCTGGCGATCAGATCGACGGTGTCTATGATCTATGGTGGTGGGTCGCTTTGTGTACGCCCTTAGCCTCCATTTCAACGCCTCACGTTGATCCAATGCGCTGTCAGCGCTCAAGTTCACCCCGGATCTCTATGGGTGATTTTGGCCATAGGCGTCTTTGGATGGGCTGCTTCGTGACGGCCTTCTGTGTCATTTTTGGCCGATTTGGCCGGTCCTTGGGCCATTAGCCCGGATCTTACGTTAGGACCTTCATCCTAAGCGGGTGGACGATCTGCTGCCGTTCGAGCGATTTTGTCGACGGGGGGATGAGTTTTGGCTGGTTTGATGATTTTTGGTGCGTTGGTCATAATTTTCCCCCTTTCCATGCCTTTCTCCCCCCTTTAACTCGCCGTTCTGATGTTCTGCAACGCCCTTAGAACCTATTCCCACATCTGATCCCCCCATTCCTCAATTCGCATCATTCATATCCGCCCAAGCCCGCGTGTCCGCAGTTGCCGGTTCAGTGATCTCGACATTACATGCTTCAACAAACAAGAGTCCAACAACAACGACAATGTCTTTAGCGCCTGCCCACCTGCTTGCTACAGTCGTTGCATCTGACCGCGTGCCCCACTCGCCCTTCCCTAGCGTCAGAAACGCTACCGGTCCTGAGGCATGCATTGCCCAGTCGCTTCATCAGAGTCGTGGCGTGCTGATTCTGATGCTAAGGAATCTACACTGTCTCTTGACCTCAACGATGTAAGTATCAGTTCCCCCATATCTCTCGCCACCAAATTCACCATCTCAACTTCTTTGGCTCAAGCGCTTCAAACTCTGATTACATGTTTTTGCCACCTGTGTAACTCCAACTACTGCAATGAGTGATGATCCCATGCTGCGAGGTTTGTAATGGGGGTGGCAAATGAAGGAGAGTAATATTGTAACTATGTAATACAAGTACTCTGAAACCATGGGTTGTTGGTCACTCAATCAAATCATTGAATGCACCGATTTTTTTTGGCACCTTGGTAATATTGTAGAAAGGGGCTCGCGAAAATGATGTTGTTGGAAGCGAGGTGGGCCAGGATGGACAGGCAGGTGACATGGCGAGAGCCACTGAAGATGCATGGAGCCGAAACGACAGGATGGGGGTTGGTGTGTGGTGCAAGAAAAGAGGTGAGATGAACATTGTTAACATGTGGCAGTTGTATCACACCAATATTGGCCGGTGGAAGTGACAATGTCGGAGGAAGGGGGAATGGGGTGGGCTGTGTCGAGGTGAGCAAAAAGGCGAGCGATGAACGCTGCCGATATTGGGCCATTTCACCACACATAAGTCATGTCTGAATAAGTAGACATGAAAACTTGGCAATGAGGCGATAAGATAAGAAAAAAGCCAAACGCACCGAGATCGAATACGATACCATGTCCACTCCATCCAAGCAGGTAAGGCTCCGGATTTACGTGCCAGGGGGGGGGGGCGAAGTGCTCGCCTGCAACTGGGCGGCTTTGTCTTGGCATAAGGTATGGTCGAAATCCCTGTCTACGTAGGCAAGTACATAGCAGGACGCGAGGTCGCTCACAGAGACGAGCAACGCCGGGCTGCCAGCTCGAGCATGGTGCGCACCGTTGGACCACTCACAAAAACCGCCAAACTGCACCGTCTCCATCAATGCCAAGGCCCGAACCGACGAGCCATGCAGCACGAAATTCCACCAGAGCCCAAAGAGGCTGTCAATGTCTATGGGAATCGCACATACACATTCCGCCGTTGCTCGAAAACCACGAATTTTCGTTAGTTTCGCCACGAAATATGATGGAGTGTTTGCAATCGGTTTCTCCTCGCTTTCCTGGCACTGGTGTCGAGCCCTGCGCTGCGTTGGTAATCTTGCTTTGATGATGGTTCGACGGCATCAGTGCTGGGTAACCCAACAAGCCTACAGTCGAAGTTAAACAGTGCGAAAAATCTGTTTTACAAAAATTCACAGCAACACGAGCGAGGCCTGCAGCGTGCAAACGGCTGGGTCACAGAGATGTTGTCAGCGTAACATGGAATGTATAGCACAACACCATCCGGTGCTCACGGATGCCCACTGAGTGAAAGAAGCCATAACACTTCATGCAGCTCAGGCATCTCGTTTGGTTTCGTGCCACCAATCGGCCCACGGAACAGGTTGCCATGGTCGTTGGGCAAACTCATATCCCGGCACAACGCAAAAATATTCATGGTCAGAAATCGTACTAGTGTGATTGGGCTGGGAGAATGGATCTATTTCTGCAGGTGCGGTCTTCCTGGCGTGAGAGATCAGTTTGAGATGATGGTAATCGGCATCCTCGCACCTCGGTGCAAGCCGATTGAGTCATTTATTGTGACATCAGTATTCATCGGCAGGCCTCCAGCCCTCTGTGATGATTATTTGGTGAAGTTGGCACAGTTTGAACGGCCGTCACAACGGCTGTTGCCGGTTTTCCGAGAACAGTTGCCCATGGCCACTTCCATCACTCTTACTTGCTTGGCGGTTGACCGTGGAAGAAACCACCTCGCTGCCGTGTTTTTTCTCTGAATGTGTCGCCTCGCGAATCTGTTGACTTCCTTTGCGACACTATGAAGTTTAAATTAGCCCACCAACCGGATCATCTGGATGCAAACCAGCTGGTTTTGTGGAAGCTCTCAGCATGCGATATGATTCCGCTAAGCCACAGCCAAGGCAAGACTGAACATTGGGTTGCAGCATCTTCGCCCACGTGCCCAATGAACCTCCATGAATCCGAGTCCCCACTTATAGCCTGGTTTGATGGTTGTGTGTACCTGTAAACTATGTCAATCAAGCTTGCAACGTATCAAGATTCAATATTGTATCCTAGTCGCCCATGGCTGGAGTACACATACAGCTCGCATCGCTGCATACCGGTGCCAACCGGCTGTGGCTTGCTTTTACCACAAGTTACACGCTACTTGGATTATATATATAAGCCGTATGCTTATCCATAGGCCACGCCTGTGTCTTGCCGGCTGCGATCCTCATCTTCCTGACTTTTCGACAGGATGAACCATCAGGTATGGATTGGGTTTGGTGACTGTTCATGACTGACTTGCCTTCGTAGTTCCGTTCCGCTATCAAACGAATGTTTCGCTCCCAACCATCCATCGTGAATGATAAAGTCAGATCTAATGCTTGATAGGCTATTCCTCACGCAGTGGACCCAACCTTTCGTTCAAAGTTTCCCTTTGAGATTTGGGAGAATATATCACTCGCAAAGCAGATCTTTGCGCCATGACACGCATCAGCAGGAACTGGAAAGCGGTCGCTGAACGTGCGATGTATCGCATTGTTTCACTTGAGGACAATACAATCGCACTGGGTTTCTTCCAATCGGTCATCGCTCGGCCAATTGCGGGGATCGTTTGTGTGGTCACTATTCATTGACCTGCCCGCTCATAATTTCCGGTTGGACCTTCCGAGAAATATACGCCAGAAGAAGACACCGAGGCTTCTTCTGCATGGAGCCTGCACTGACAATTTGAGAACCATTGATAAGACTTGGGATTTGGGATTGCTCTCAAGGGTATTGACGCTCTGTCCCAACATCTTACAATTACGGCTTAGCATCACGCCAAGACTGCACAAAGCTTTCACACCACCCCACCGAAAATATACAAGACCCCTTCAACGTCTCCAGATTTCTCCAAGAAGTCGCGGCGAAGCGAAGCCCGTGGCAATGCCCAGCTTAGGGCTGACTGGCCCATGCGAGGTTGTTAAAGCCCTAGTCCCAGGCAGACCGGTACGAGATGTCAGACTGATATGGTGTGAAGAGGATGGGAAACTTCTCGGGGCATTGACCGCGCTCGGGCAGTCGACCAGTCCAGTTTCCACGCTTACAATCCAATCTGTGGACCTACTGGATGAAAAGGCCATCGTTTTCACTGGACATGACCTTCCGTGCCTTGAATACCTCAGCATCGTTTCCCCTTATTTCCAGCTTCCGGACGACGACGTTGTGATGGTCCTCCAACGGAGCCTTGAAGGACTTCCGTGCCTGAAAGAGCTCAAGATAATGGTCCCGTATTTGCCAAACGAGAAATGGCGATCTTTCATATCAACTTGTGAGACGCCGATCGTGGTTCTTGGATGGAAAGTAGAGATATGCTGGGACATAGATGGGTGGGTGTCTTACGTGAGTGATGACGAGCACTAGCACCTAGAGGTCAGACTTCCTTTTCTCTTTTCTTTGTATGACGAAGTCAGCGGATCGGTCGATGAAAGTGTGGGCATGCAAAAGAGGAAGTTGATTGTAATTAACTTCATTATTTCAGACACTTTTCCACAAACTCCGAATTAGATCAAAAGATCGACACGAGTTCAGCGTGTTTTGTCGGTCATGTCCAGATCCTTGCCGGCTGCTCAGAACACTGGGAACCAGTTTGTGACTGTGCTGTACTTTGCAGCTACTCAATCCGCAACAGGTCTCCACACCGAGATGATTCCTTTCCCAGATACTTCACTCACACTTGGTCAGCTCGCTCGTCTTCCAGCGGAACGTCACCCTGCTCTACAGGATGTCTTGAACGAGAGTTCGTGGAGTGTGGATGCTGAGATGAACGGGATGTGAATGAAGTTTACTTCAAGGGTGAAGAAGTCGCTGTCATTTGCCCAGTATCTGGTGGTTAGCGTAGGCACCCTTCGCAATTAATTTCGACATGCTCGCCCAAATGCTATGCCATTGACCGATTATAATTAACTCCAGCATACCTGAGGCTGTGACATTGACCTGACCAACACTCGACGCCCACACCCCTGAAAGTGCAATGTTGTCATCAAACTCTTACTCATGATCCTCCATCACTATCCACCACCCTTGGTCGTCCCCATCGCTAGGTGTCCTACTGTACGCTCTTCCAGAAATCGACCCAAGGAACGGGCGCCATGCTGCACCACCCAAGGGAACAGGGGAGCGCGATCGACCTGGAGCACGCGGAAGAGGCGGAGGTTCATAAACACTGTAGGTACATAGCCATCCAGTACAGCCGATAATCCCGACACCACAAGCCAGCGGACTCCGTCACCCCGCCACACCAACCAGGCACCCTTACCATGTATTGCCGATCCCCTCAGGTTGTGGTGTCACGGGACTGCCGCACTGCCGCATATCAACGCAACAACCTTCTCCGTGCGCTCTTATGCATGGTGCTACACATGGTCCGATCTGGGCCCCGACAACTCGCGTATGGTAACAGCAAATCATCTATGGAATCAAATCGGCAAAAACCACATACAGCTCAGACCCGAATCCGGGGACAGGCAATGGTGCAAATGCAGAAAAAAGACCATCATTAGGAAGCAGGGGAATCATGGGAAACAGAATAGAATAAGGAATTGATCGGAGTCGATCAACCGTACTAGTACTACTAGAATGGGTGGATATCTGGTTAAAGGGAAAAGAAAAGAAAAGCAAGCTAGTTACGATATACCGGTCAGAATATCAGTCCACTTTTGGCGCTAGACGGATTTAAGGAAAAGGGAAACAGACAAAACTTGTAGCTGACAGCGAAGCCCCAAGGTGGGGGTAGATTGAGAAGAACAGAGACAATAATGGGACGGGGAAGAGTGTGAATGTGCTACAATAATGTATGGGACGAGGGTCGAGAGAAAGATGAACGCATGAAACCCAAAACAAACTAGGCGGAGCGAAAGGCGTACAGAGCGCATAGTCTCAAACCGGAGAACACCAATGAGGAACTCAAATTAAGGGAGGGGTATGTATAAGAAATAAATTGCGAGATTCTAAAAGTTCGACAGAAACGCCCAAAATAGCCAATGCCTTTACGAGTTCTTTCCTGGCTGTATCAAGATCATCATAATCAAGCGCATTAATAGCGTACTTCGCAGCCTTCTTAGCTTTCGCCATATCCTCAGGGGAGATGGCATCAGGAAGAGGGGGAGCAGAGTGACGCAGGTACGGCGTTGGTGGGTAATGAGATGACACGGGAGGTAGAGCAGGAGTGGGGGCGATGGATGGGGCAGCAACGGGGGGAAACTTGGGGCAGGAGGCGAAACCAAAATCGGCGGAGAAGAAATGGATGGGAAAGATGGCACATCCGGTAAAATCGCGGAGATAGGTGGAATGACATTTACACCCTTGACACCTTCAGATTCAAACGAGGCAAAATTTGGAGGTGGTTAGCCAGAGAAGGCACGAGATGGCTAGCTTCATCTGGCCCGTAGTACAGGGTGCAATTCTCTGGACTCCACCGAACTCATCTGGTACTGAAAATCCCTTCCATGCATCCTGGGACAACAATGGACATTTCTCCTCCCCCCGGAATAAGCAGGCCAACTGCAAGAGGAGGCCAAGATCAGGTCAGAAAGACCCAGTATTCGTGCCACGGTTGCTGTGGCGTATCCACTGGGGATTTCCAAGACAGGTCGTGAGAATGTACAGGATGTTGTTTTCGGAAGACATCCTCGTGAGGAGCTCGCTGACAAGACTCGTGGGCCTATGGCCCTGCTCAGTACGTGCTTGGTATGTGATTCTTCTCCAGCACTACTAGTTGTTGACCTGCGGATTTAGGCTACTATGCAATTGGTGCTGATATCGCCTTCGGGAGAACCACTGGTCAATTAGAAGGATTTGGACTGATCAGTAAGTATGCCCATTCCCACTTCTGACCTCTTGTTTCAATGGCTCGCGACTAACGTTGCTTACTTGCTTGGATCGTCACGCTCAGTTGACTTTGCTCGAAATTTCGATCCTGCACGCGAAAGTCGAAGCAGGAAATGCATCGTCCCCTCCGTCCGCTTCCTCCGCTGTCGTTTCGGGGCGTTGCTTCGGGGCATCTGTGGGGTTCTGGTAATCCAACGTCCTAGCCTTGACACCATTATCAACTCTTAAACTTCGCATGTGTCTGACTCGGCTTGACGCGGGCTTGGGGGGTCCTCCCCAAGGTAGAATAGCAGCCTCTACGAGGTGCTCAACGTGCAAATCTGCACTTTCTTGACTTGCCCGATGTCGACTCTGAGCATATCGCATTGCTACCAAACTTGTCACATATATTTACATGAGCCCTAAGAGGAAGCAGAAGGAGGGCTGACTGTGAAAATATGTAATCAATCGCTCTCAAATGGTGTTGTGCCAGGATAAGATGACCTGGACGAGGGTTTGGGTCAAAACTAATGAAACCCATAGGGATGGGACCGTGAAACTAACATTTGGATGCTCGTTAGTATCGCAGCGACATTGTGGGTAGGTGACCAGCGATTCTGAAGCAAAGCTCTCCATTTGCATGGATGTTCGGATGATTTTGACAACGGTGGCGGGTTTGTTGGGATAGGACTCGTTGAATTGAATGTTCCATCGGCTACTTGGTCCGAATATCACCGCATTCCATAACATGAGGTTGTCATTGCAAGGAGCGACTTGAATCTGACGCCATGCACCATTGATGGCCCAAGATCTCCTATTCAACGTTGATTCAACGAGTCACGTTTCCCAGCGACACAAACAGCGATAGACGTCAGTGAGCGCTGCTGACGCCTCTACCAACACTAGGCAACGACCTGCGACTGTACCAAAAGCGCAAAGAAGCCTTTCAAGGAACGCATACTGTGAAACTCATTTGAACCCGACACCAAGTCTGACTCTTACGACAGACACATGGACACTCTTGTGCAATACTGCGTGCGAGAACTTTGTTTTGAGGGCGACTACGGTATGAGCACACTCGTGGCTGGCTGGTTTTTTTCTGGGAGATACTCAATGAATCATCCTCCCATGTTTGATTCGTGCTTAGGTTGTTCCAAGGGCACCACGACGCACAAAATATTAGCACCTCCAACCAGATAATTTTATTCAGTATATATCCTCCCTTGTAATATGTACTGGACAGGTCTCCATAGGCCTCTGTCCTCAAATTCCGCAAGTCTCCGTTGCTCCCAATCCGATGACCTCCGCCCTTCAACAATTTTCCGGACTTTGACAGGATCTCATGCGAGAGTCAGTGGGTGCTTGTGGAATGTGTTTGGATGTTGACAACTAATTTAATCGCGGAGTAGCCCTCGAAGATGACAGACATGGCATACATGGTGCTCAAGCTGGTTGCTTGCGCCAAGACCGCCAAATACTCATTCGGATCGATGTTCCACCTTGTCAAATCCCTGGAGGAACTCGAATTAGTGTCAGTCATCATTTGTGTTGAATCGCTTACTTCAATTGATGCCACTTCCCTCGTCCCATCAGGCACAAGATCCACAGTTCTGGGATTTCCAAGAATTGTGTTGTTCATCGCTCCTTTTGGGAACATAGCGAAGTGTGGCAAAAATTGGTTGCTGAGGAGAGACAACTGCAGTCTATTGCGATAGAAGTTCAGAGCGGCTTTCTCAGAATGGACTTGCCATTGCCTCCACCGTTTATGGGACCCACGAAGAAGAGCTGGTCGATGAGGAGGAAAAATCCCAACATGATATCGATGAAGCTGTCAAATCCTTGGAATTTGAGCCTTTGGATCCTCTGACACTCGGAAGTTTCCCATTAGTTGCTGCGCGTGTCAAAAAGTTGTTGGGAAACCGTGCCAACAACACTCATGCTTACACAAATGCATTGCCCGCCATTGTAGGTACACTCCCCTTCAGGTGGAGCAGCTAATAGCGTATTGCACCACTTCAGGGATGTCAGAACCCTACTCGCGCGGATCGACGACTTTTCCGGCGCCAAATCATTAACATGGAACGCCACGGGCTTATTGAACGAGTGTTTGTGCCGTCAAAAATGGCTCGAAATAAGATGATCATTTGCATTCGCCCCACCGTAGGTGGGCAACGTGTCCAGGGAATATCCCATAAAGGTGAGAAATGCGGTGTCACAGGGGACCCTGACATATCACATAATTCTAGTGAGGAGACGTTGGCGAAGTGGAATGTCACTATTCATCGCCAGCTAACTGAAATTGCAGATATTTTATCCCAACGTGGTAAGACACACAATGTACGACCTGTCTCACCCTTTGCTCTCTCTCGCGGGCTAACAACCTACTAGGAAATGACAGCGCTCCTCAGTCAGTTCGATGTGTGGACAATCGAACATCTCATGAAGAAGAATGAGGAACATCCAGTGCCCCATCATCTCCGCCATTTCGCTATCATCTCCGAAGCTATGCATTATGGGCGCGAATGCCACATGGAATACTGGACAAAATCGGTTCTTCAGCGCTCACAACTTGATCCAAATGCTGTCACTGAGAAACTCGGAAATATTTTGGCTGAGGACTTGTCTGACGTGGCAAGTTTTGGAGAATTCCTCGAAGAAGAATTTTACGATGGGGATGTTGACACCCTGGCAAAATATGTCAACAATTTCTGTCGCCCCACAATGAAGCGAGATCGTAGGACCAGTCTTAAAGCAGATGGGATTCCTCGTAATCGGAATCCAATACTACCTGATGGGACTGTCAAGAAAGGCTGCCCACGAAAGGAGTGGAGTGTGCCAGAGAAGAAGACTAACGCTATTCGAAATATTCCATCAGTGGCACAAAGAAACATGGCAGGCCACCAAAGGACAGGAATTTGGCGCAGGATCCTCAGAGCCCACCTGCCGCTACGCATGAAACAACACAAGGCGGAGATCTAACCTTAGGTCGATCCAGAGAGGGTACTTCCAATAATGGAAATTCTGTCAATTCGAGGTTAATTGGTGGTGGCTTACCCGAACAATCGATTCTAATCAATGACCAACGTCCTGGGATAATCGAGGATCCTATGTTGAAATCAGTGTGTATCTCATTTAGTTCTCGACAGGTGAAGTGTTCAACAGTCATTCACAGACGAGGAAAGCCACAAAGCGTCCTGCGATAGCAGGTTTATCTGAAAAAATCCAACTAAATGTCGTAAGACGACAAATGTTGAATCTGGGGTTTCTCGGCCCCCCCTCAAACGGTGCGTCCCCATCCGCAGATCAGCACAACCCGGGAGCAACCAAAGCGCATTCTCGGAAAGGGATCAGAGGTGAGTCTCCCCAGCAGTCAGCTGTGGCGCCTTCCTGACATGGTTTCAACACCCAGCACCCAGGAATGCCAATCTTACGGCTTTGCGTCGACAGGAAGAACTCCTGACAGTTCTTCAGGATCTTGGAGGGATCGCACATTTGTCGGAGGATCGAATATATGAACAGTTCCAAAAGGTCATCAAAAGGAGGATCGCGGATGGTGTAGTCATGAGTACTCCGGAAGGGATGTCTTTAGATCCGCGGACCCTGAGTAAGACAATGAACAGTCTCAGCGACCGAGGGCCATCTCCTTGCCTCGTGCCCTCTTCCAAGGTCATCCTTCTATTGCGTTCCATATTTGATGGCCAATCTCGTGGAGCGCTTCCTATGTGCTGGCAAAATTGCAGCGCGATTTCCTTTCATCGTGCTTGGATATCAATACTCGTGCGTATGATGAGCCTGATCTTACCTTCTGGAAAGAGATCACTGGGGCACCGCTGGACGCCATCAACTCTTTCATGGAGGAGGGAGGAGCAGAGGAGGTTATGGAACGAAAAACAGCGATTACTCGGTCAGACTAAACCTCGTCGTGAGCTGGATAAGGTCTTGTCCCTGAAGATTGCTGAGGCGAAACAGTGAAGGAGCTGATAACTAAATTCAAGTCTCGCCAAACCATCCGGCCCCTACTTCGAAAAGGTCTGACTCAGAAAAAGGAAGAAAGAAGAGGTGCAAGATCAGATTAATCCAGCATGTCTTACAGTGGCCTCAGTCTCACTCACAGAAGCGAACACTAGTGCAGTTCCTAAGGCTCGATGACGTTTCAGTTGGAACGATGACTTCGACGAGCTTGCTCGAGACGCCGGCGCCATCATCAGAGCTCGCTGGCGCCACCTCTCGAAACCAGTTTGGGGAGCACTCTCAGAGGTATTTCCTACTATCTCTTGTCACAGTGCACATATGCGCGTTTCCAAAGTCCTTGTGGGAGGACATGCTGCGTACGCCAAGAGGCTGGAAGCTCAATGGATGGACCTGTAGTTGAAGTTTCGTGGATCGACAAACCTTCCTGATGACCATCCCGATGACCCCGTAAATTTTGACTCGCTAACGCATGTCGACTTCTTAAGAAGTTACATAGACAAGGGTAAACTGTAGGTTTCGCTGCTGCTCAGTTTGAACCCATTGTTAACCCAGTTCTGGGACGTAGTCGGGCCGGAGTTATTGACCAAGCGACCAAGCTGTTCGGTGCAACACTTCCGAAAAGCATTTGCCCGATTGCCCAGCGGTTCGGATACACGGACGATTCCCAATCTTATGATCCAAAGTTCGATTACTTCCTCACCACCGTTGGAGATGAAAACGCTCTTTGTTCCGACCCATTCGTCATGAGGTCTGCCAGCGATGCCCCTTCTACAGGGGGTCCGAGAATCAGGGGGCTTACTCAGGCAGCAATCAAGGCGAGACTCTGTGAAATGGGGCCGAAACCGATAGATCTGATCCGCAATCTTAGATGACTGTATCCACACCCAAGAACATTTACGATGATAAACTTGCAGTGGCACTCCTACAACAGCTTGGGGATACAGAAGTTGCCGAAGCTAACGAAGTTCTTCGTACAGAAGATTTTTGCACTCTCCAATCATGACCCATCACACCCTAAGCTGGGGCGCGGATACCGTTATCACAACGCGTATGCAATACTTTTCCATTTGTGTGGACAAATTTTTATGTTAGTATAGAATGAGTTCGGCAATTTTTGGTGTATCAGGACGCCATCGTGTTGGAATTGAACTGATGCTTACCTATTGGGTCAGTGAGGACACTCACGATCCGTCCTTCTCTGTATCGCCCAGCGTGTCACCAGCTTACAAGACCTCGGAGTTGCCATCTATAGGGAACCCGACTGGTGCCTTAGGGCATAGCATAACATTTGATGGACGTCAAGCTGCATGTGGGCCTCATCCATGCGTTGACAAGGCTGCTGTGGACTGTGAAAGCCTGCATATTACGCTCTTCGGAAACGTTGTTTGCCAACTCGGAATTATCTGAGGAGCTCCATCAGTATTGGATGCTGTGAGGGATGCAGGAGAAGCTGGAATCTCGAAAGAGAATCTAGTTGTTTGTTTTCTCAATTGCAGGCTCAAGTACAGGTCCCACAAGAATTGGTCGCGAGATGCATGAAAATGCTGACCAGTACTGCGAGACCTCTTGCATTTTGGGCAGGATATTGCCACCCAGCTGTCCTTGTCGTGTCCCAGCACCTTCCCCCTTGGTCCGTTCGGATCCCGAGTCCCATTGTCTGTGACACCTCCGATCCCCCAGGTGGGGTCAACCCAGGGATCGGCGGAAACCAGAATAGGTTCATAAGTGTGTTCCCCCAACGATGGAAGGATATACGTGGGCAAACTCTCCAAAACCAGTGGGATGCAGCGCTAAAGGCAGTGATGAGTCACATCTGGCTCCGACCTGGAGTTTCCGAGACATAGCGACTCGTCACCGTACCATACCCCTCTATATGAATTGGACCATGGGATCGATCACAGCCGTTGCAATTAAACGACCTCGCTCACCATTGGGTGATGTAGATTCGCGCTGTGAAACTGGTATGTCCCTGAGTCTGATTTTCATTGTTTCTCTTTTCTTAATCCCTATGCTCTTAAGGAGAAAACCAACGAGAACAGGGAACAGTGTATGGATGACGATATCGGATATGGGTCAGATTCTGACACGGTAAGATAGTCCAATTCACATATGTGCATTTCAACTTGACACTCATTACACCGATGACACCCCCTCCCGTTCCACCTCACATTCACATCCTCACAACAGCAACTAGATTCACATGAAGCGATACTTTGCATGATCCGTGACTATCACCTCACAGCTGATATCTTAGCTGAGCAACTGTAAGCGATAAGCGTACAGAACCGTATATAAGCTAGAACCTTTGTAGATAGAAAAGACAGAGATCTTGTATTTTACACCCTCTAGTGTAATATCGAGCAGGTTTCCGCGTGTCCGTGAGTGCAATGATCCACTTGCCCGGCAATGACCCTTTTCTTCTCCAGAAGGCAAGGTTCTGCCCAGCAGTATTGCCACGCCGGCATAGCATTCGAGAGAAGTGCACCTTCGGAAAGAGGGGAACCAACAAAATTCGCTGCTGACCAGAAAAAGCAACCACCTGTATTCTCTTTTGATCGCCTGCCATCGGTCACCTCGACAATACCCATCACACTATATTGCAAACAACAACTTCGTTTTCTTCTCTACCATGCCGGTGAGCTTCTAGGTTTGTTCCCGAGATGTGGGCCCTAGTTCATGTTGCAGGTCTCCATATTGGCTTTGCGGGAGCCGTATAGATGAAGATTCCGCCTTACCTGGGCACTAGGAGACTTATCCTCCAGTGCTCCTTTAAAGATCATCCAGGTCCGCGTTGGTTGAAAAACGATGCATGCAATTTACATCCAGGCCCTCCTTTGTAGTTATGAGGGCCCACCCTTCTCTTGTTCAATGGACCCGCTCTTTTCGTGTCCTATTAATAACGCACCCTTACATGTAGATAAGTTTCGACCTGACTATTCAACCCGGGAATGATGTATTTGGACCGAGGCATCGCAACAATTAACGCAACGTCGCGACGATCGTTCGCTGACATGTCCCATTCGAAGCGATATTCAGGGTATTTTCCCCTTAGCTTAATGAGCGAACAAAGGCTCCATCGATCCTGACTCCGGCGGTGTTCAGAACATCTCTTGGACGTCTCTTGGCCGTTATGTGGTTGTACGGAATAGGTGTACAGCGGTTTGAATTTTGATTGTCGCGTGATGCAAAATTGTTTCCGCTGAACTTCAGCGGCTGCAAGGGTACGCCAAACTTCCTGACCGAATATCTCTTCAACCACATCAGTTATTGACAAACGGATTGTTGCGCTGTAACATACACGTCTGTATCTATCTTCTATCTGAAGCGATTGTTAATACCTTTTAAAATGGATTGTCCAATTATCCCCACCTTCCTGACCGATTTTCTCAACAACGGCTGGGAGAAATTGTCCCAAATTTGGTCCCCAAGGAGGTTGGGTGAATATCTAAGTGCTATTTTTTTTTCAAAGTGCTGTGCTTAAATTTGAAAAATTCGCTATTGAGAGTGTGCAACAGCAACGGAAATCACATACATAAACCCAATTGCATGCCCACAAGGTCCCTTGATAGACCTCAGAGGACACATACGGACTCGTAGCTGCCACCCCCTGCAAAGAAATGCGTGGAAGTCTGAGCTTGGCAAGTCGCCGACAGGACAAGTCCGGGCAGCCCCGAACTCGTCATCCTTTTTTTGCGCTTCACTTTCTAGGCTGTATATGCCAGGAAAAACCAAGCCTCAACAACAGAAACTTTCTCGCTTAGCCACTTTGAACTCTAAAAATACATCCATGCAAGATCCAAAGCAGCCCGCATATGATTTGGATGTGACACTCGGCAGCATTTCATCTCAACCACCACACACTCGCCCTCGCCCTTGCCCTCGCCCTCGCGCTCAAAAACAGCCACAACAGGTCACCAGCCACCTAGCTGAGACAGAGCACCAGGGAGCACTTGGTCTCCTTGTCCTTGCAGCACAACAGTCGGCAGCGGGAATCGATAATGCGGAAGCCAGTCACCAACTAGCCAACATGTTGCCTTCCTATCCCAGAAGGAACCGCAGCCACAAAGATGCCGACATTGGAATACATAGTCAGGAGATTGTTAATGGTCAGAGTGGTAGGCACTCTTTGTAGGCATTAGACTGGATAACCTCATTTTGCGCTATTTTAGAGAACTCCGTGGTGCACGCAAACGAAGCAACATCCGGAGGTGATTATCAGTGTCCAGTGAACCAGGGACAGGCCGAAATAGCAGGAGGAAGGCACCAGAATGCTATCAATGTGCCAAAAGTACTGTACAAAGTTGAAACAGAAGGTGGTGACTGGCGAGGCGTCCGACTTCCTTTGTCACTGCCTTTTCCACAGTGGCAACAGGAGGTCACAATGGCTTCACGGGTAGCCACCTTCATCCCAGAATTCAAATGGAAAACTAGCGCCACGGGAAAGGGCACGCTACTATGCAATAAAGATGATTACCTACTCATGATTGAAAGTGTGCAAGCCGAGGGCACAAAGAAAGCCAACATCATAGTATTTATCGAAATTCGGAATCTAGTGAGTGTATGCTCAATGTTCAATGCACCTCTAGCTAATTCTGCCACGACAATTAGCCTAGATCCGATAATGAAAAGCCAAAAAAATCCAAAGCCACTGGCACAAAGGCATCACGGGTTCCAAGCAAAACGCAGAGTAAAAAGCGGCAAGCAAAGGAGTCCAGTGGGAGCTCATCTTCTGATTCGGAGGATGGAGATGATAAGGGCTCCAATGAGGGTGAAATTGAGGGAGATTCTGAAAGGCAAAGCCGCAAAAAGCCGCGTCTCTCAGTCTCAAGCAACACAATCAAGCACTATACCCAAGCGTTGCTCAGCAACGCGGTAATGTGCTCTGTCCATCAGAAACCTTGTTCAATCCTACCATCTGGGGTACATGTCCCTCTTGAGGAGGTTACGCTAAAGGGGTGGGCGCTAGCAATAGTAAGAGCTCAAGATTCCCGCAACTATACTGCCACTGAATGACCATGTGACAAGGCTAAGGGTGAACAGGGTGTTGACCTAAATAACCCTCCCCAATCTCTCAGTATTCAGTATGGGATCAGCATCCCACCTACTGCTGGGAAGCGCCAGCGGAATACCACCACACAACTTACAGGGGCCTCATTCGGAGGCAATGTGATGCCGACATCAGCAAAAGTCCGTTATGCTCCGGAGCATCAAGAGTGGCTGGAGCATGTGGGAGACAAAACAGCAGATTGGGCACTCCTGGAGCCAATAGTGTTCTCCTGGGAGGGGGTTCAGGAGCAGCTGGGAGTGGTGAGGAGTATGTAATGTGCCAGGAGCAGTGGGAGGAAAATTTTGGTCTCTAAAAAGTTGAAAAAAAAAATTTAGGGAAAAATCAACAAAAAATTCAGGAACTATAGTGCCTTTAGGGTGCTTTCAGGACATATAATTATTTGCAAAATTGAGGAAGAAATGATGGAGAAAAATGGAAAATACTTTCGGAGACCCGAGAAATAATGAGAACTGAATTGACAGGAAAGTCTGAAAATTGAATAGGAAAGTGAGGGGAAGCCTTGTAAGCATTGTTATTTTCTGCTGTTCTGATTTTTCCTGATTATTCTTGGTCTCACTCCCAGCTGCTCCTGGACCCTCCCAGGAGCTTTCAGGAGCTTCCAGGAGTATTGAGGAGCAGTGTCATATCCATACAATCCCGACCTCTGCTCCAGGCTCCCGGAACTCTGAACCTGACTTCCGGAGCCCTACTTCCCTTCTGTCACCTCCTCCTTGCCGACTCCCAAGAGGTTATCCCACCTCCGGCTCCAACACCACCTTCGGTCTGACTCCGGAACATTCCGGGTCCGACCCCAACCTCGACACCTTCCAGATGAGTACGCAAAACCTATGCTCCCAACTCCAGACCTCCACTCCGGAATCCCGTTTGCGTCTCCATCTCTGGAACCTCTGGTCTTAGCTCCGACCTCGGACTTTGACCCCACCTCCGCTTATACCCATTGTATTGGTTAGCTCATTCCATTTAATTACGTTTGCCAATATTCCGGAGGTTAACTTCCGAGTTCGGACTTTCCGGACTTACTCCGGACCTTGCAACTATTGCATTGTCCATTTCAATTCCACTATTCTCCCTCATTCCTATTTGGGCTGCTGCTTCCTTCTATTCAGTCAGCTAGCCATTCCCGACTCCCATCCTCCTTCCTTCCTCCCCGGGCCCCGGCCCCTCATTCCTCCTTTGAGAAACACCATTGAGTCAAACCCTTGACCCTTGGTGTTGTTCCTCTTTCCATCTCCCTTTGTCTCCTTTCGTCCTACCCTTGTTCCTTTTGATTCCGGACCCCTCCTTATATACAATGTACCTAGTAACTTGTAACCTCTGTCATATCCATCCCCGGCCATCGACTTCCGGTCCCTCCGATTCCTCCGTTCCAACTCCGCTCCTCCCTCACTAACCTCGGAGCCCCCGTTATTCCGCAATCCTCTCGGTACCCCTCGATGGTCACCACCCCCCCATTCCAATTTATTACCTACACCTCCCTAAGTACGGAGCCCCGAAGACTTCCGGACAGCTCCGATGTCCGCTAGCGCACCCCTGCCTCCGCTGAGCAATACACTCGCCTGCCCTGCAGAGTCCACCTTCGGGCTTATCCCTCCTTTCCGTTTCTGGGTTATCGCCTGCCTTTCCGCTAACCCCGTGAACCGACTCGTCGGTAATATTCAGTCGGCTAATGGTTAAACCCCGTTAGCTCCGCTCCGTTCGGCTCCGCCAATTGCGGAACCGTCTCCGCTGTAACCATATATATATCCCACTTGTACATAGGTTACGCCCCAGTAGAAAAATCAACTAGAGTTCCCCCCTAGGTTCTAATTGCCAGTCAGTAAGTTAGGGCACGGACGTGTCACTAGGCACAGCGCTCCTGGCAGAAGTCGCTGAGGCCGAAGCCCTCCGTTACGGAGACATTCTTTCGTCTCAAGTCTGGTCTCTGACAACCTCAGTCTGAAATCGACATGAATTCCCCCCAAGAGACTTTCCCTCTGCTAGATCCGAAATTAGGGACCCCTAGGACAACCAGCAATGGCACAGCGCTCCGCCTGAGTCACTGAGGCCGAGGTCCTTCCACGCTAAGTCTCCGATTCCATTCCGGAGTCGTCCGAATCCGCCCATTCTAACAAGCAGCTGGGAATGAGACCAAGAAGAATCGGGAAAAATCAGAACAGCAGAAAATAACAATGCTACAAGGCTTCCCCTCACTTTCCTATTCAATTTTCAGACTTTCCCATCAATTCAGTTCTTGGGTCTCCAAAAGTATTTTCCATTAGCTGCTCCTGGACCCTCCCGGGAGCTTCCAGGAGTATCCAGGAGTATCCAGTAGCAGCTGGGAGTGAGACCAAGAACAATCAGGAAAAATTAGAACAGCAGAAAATAACAATGCTACAAGGCTTCCCCTCACTTCCCTATTCAATTTTCAGACTTTCCCATCAATTCAGTTCTCATTATTTCTCAGGTCTCCGAAAGTATTTTCCATTTTTCTCCATCATTTCTTCCTTGATTTTGCAAATAATTATATATCCTGAAAGCACTTCAAAGGCACTACAGTTCCTGAATTTTTTTGATTTTTTCCCTAATTATTTTTTTCAACTTTTTAGAAGTCCCTATTTTTCAAAATTTCCTCATTTCCCTCTATATCCCCCCCTCATTCCCCCCCTCATTCCCCCCCTCATTCCCCCCCTCATTCCCCCCCTCATTCCCCCCCTCATTCCCCCCCTCATTCTCCCCCTCATTCTCCCCCTCATTCTCCCCTCATTCCCCCCCTCATTCTCCCCTCATTCTCCCCCTCATTCTCCCCTCATTCTCCCCCTCATTTCCCCCTCATTTCCCCCCCTCATTCTCCCCCCCTCATTCTCCCCCATATTCTGCCAGCCCAAAAGTGATTAAGTTGCCAGATTAATCATATATCAGGCCATAAATTTTGATTGTGTATTGGTGAGTCTCAGTGTCCTTGATATAGTATAGTGTTTGATCTAAGTGTTAAGCAGTGTCTTGTTGTGTTAGTCTTGTGGTAGGAGGTATTCATGGGGGATCTTCCCTCTTTTTTTTTCCTTTTCATTTTCAAATGCTCCAGGAGCTCCCAGAAGCTTCTCACCCCTATACACTTTGAAGCATTTAAATTGTATTTACTGGATATGTTTGTGCACAAAGCAATGCTCCAGGCCCTCCTGGGAGTGCCCTGGAGTACCTAGCCAACTCCGGAGGAAATGGGCTGTTCCTGGACTGGCCAATCTCCTCCTGATTCTCCCAGTGCTCTCGATACTCCGGAGCACTCAGGAGCATAACAATTTTTTGCTGATGGATGCCAAATCCCATGGCTATGGGAATGCACCCTGGTTTCTATTATTCATCTCACATGCCGGTTCCACCATTTATGGGACCTCCACCATTCCAATATGGCACAGTACCGTCATATCCCCACTCCTACAATGACCAATATAGCACCCGCCCACCTAATCACCCTAGATTTATTGAGCACGACAACAGCTATCGTCGCCGCAACCCCGAACATGACTACCCAGCACCCCAGCACCAAGATCACCATGCAACCACTACCAACCCAAGTAGTGATGGACCGGATATCCCTGCATCCCAATTCCCTGCTCTCGAGGAATGGCTGACTCAGCTTGATTCAGATAGGCATAAGTTCCCTCAAACACGCAACTTTCAACGGTATATTCTTCCCCTTGATGACATCGGAATTGACCGACTTGATGTGCTATTCGAGTCATGCAAAGAAAACCGGGCAGAGGGCCTGGTGAAGCTAGGTCTTGGCATCCCATTTGGGCATGCCGTAGAACTCTACAATGCAATGGAGAAGGAGATAAAACACATTCGGAAGAGATCTTATATGTGAATTATCCTTCATATCCAGTAGACATCACTATATACGATACATATTTGTTAGTTTTTAGTGACACGTCAGTGATTTCTAAATGCATATAGAGGGGATATTATGGTGGCAACCAGTACCCGGCATTTTCGAACCATCCGGCAGCATCAACTGAGGTTACTTGGAAATATAAGTGACATAGGAGTCGTATGGTCTCCTCATCACTCCTACTCATCATTTCCCGCACCAACTCACCATTGTGGCGAATTTTTGATTTGAAATCTGAGAAGGATTCTTCAATTGGATTGAAATCCGGCGAGTAAGGTGGAAGGAATACCATGCGGCATCCCCTGAGGTAGCAATAAGATGATATGGTCATAATTATCATGACGAGGGACATACCGATCTTCAACCAATTGTCTGATAGAGTCATGCTTGTGGATTGAGCAATTATCAAGAACAATGACAGAGTTTGGGCCTGGGAATGGTTGCATTTCATCCAACAGACGACGGATGAATCGGCGAAAATGGCAGGTGTTGTATGATCCAAGTCGTGCCTCGACCCAGAGTGGTCCATCAAGAGAAAGTGCCGGAAGGACTGAAAACCTGGAAATTTAAAGTAAGAGCCTAGATAATTTGATTCTGCATGGGCATAAATACCTTTTCCCTCGCACACGACTAGCCCGGATGTCAGCCCGTTGTCCCTTCCTTGCCCATCCACGGAGTCGATGTGTGGTGCGTTTGTCCACCGAAGTCTCATCAACAAAGACTAATTGCTCAGGACAATACCTGCGAGCAATTAGTCGGCGATATGTCTCCCGCTTTTTGGCGTCACGCTCCGCAGCAACACGGTGGCACTGGATAAATATGTATAACACAAGCTTCAGATAGTAAGGTCAATTATTTCCACACCTTTTTCAGAGTATATCCCTCGCGTTTGAGTGACCTCCATAGGCCGGATATAGATATATACTTACAACAATTGTCGATTAGTTTTTGTTGAATTTCTGTCAGATAGAGGTCCGGGCGCCCAGTGAGCAAACCATGAAGATACTGTACAGAATAGTCAATAAAGACGATATTACGATACCAAGGATGATCGCACCTGCATATCCTGAGACTCTAGTGTCCGTGATTGAGAGCGCTTGGGTGCAGTGCAGAAGTTTCCTTGCCGAGCATATGCCCTGCTCCAACGCTGAACAGACCTCAGGCTAGCACCAGAGATGAAGTTGACGACGGGGTAGGGAAAGTAGGCAGCCATCCTCAATATAATGGCCTTCGCATCATCACTGTAGTAAATAGGTGCCATGACACAAGTACAACGGATGAGTTCGGAACAAGCCGAGTGAGCTGTCCAAACTTCCGCGCGCACTCTCAATAGCGAATTTTTCAAATTTAAGCACAGCACTTCGAAAAAAAAAAATAGCACTTAGATATTCACCCAACCTCTTTGGGGACCAAATTTGGGACGATTTCTCCTAGCCGTTGTTGAGAAAATCGGTCAGGAAGGTGGGGATAATTGGATAATCCATTTTAAAAGGTATTAACAATCGCTTCAGATAGAAGATAGATACAGACGTGTATGTTACAGCGCAACAATCCGTTTGTCAATAACTGATGTGGTTGAAGAGATATTCGGTCAGGAAGTTTGGCGTACCCTTGCAGCCGCTGAAGTTCAGCGGAAACAATTTTGCATCACGCGACAATCAAAATTCAAACCGCTGTATGTACGGAGTTGGCCGGATTTGTTGGTTTTTGTTGTTTCCGACAACATACCTCCACTCAATGAGTGTACCTCAAGAAGAGAATGAGGGGAGCACCACCAATACCGCCAAAGGGATTCAGAAAACTCCCATTCGTGGTGGATCAAGACCCAGCTCGAGTTCGGCCAGTCAATCTCGTTTGCTGACTGGAACTTTGAAATCCTATCGGTGTGACATCCCTCTTTCGTTTTGCCTCTCTGGTGATAACACGACGTCAGGGCGGAAGAAATGGAAGAGCCCATCCGTGTCGACTTGGAGAGTGCCCAGAAATGCAAGGCGGTTGACATGATCGACTTTTTGCTCGCGTTCTGCCTGTCGGGAAAGGGCAAAGCTGTCCCCGCTCGTGATGAGCGGGTGCTGTTATCTGCCTTTGAGAAGGTGAAGGAACTAGCAAATCAGGAAGGGACCACCCTAAGGACTGAGCTCTCTAAGTTGTAAGTGCGGCCATGACTCCCTAGGCGCGGGACTAACTCACTGTAAGCCTCAAAGCTGGGACAGAGGCAGAAATGTACGATCCATTCGTAATCGCCTCTAACTATGCCCTAGATCAACTTTCGAAAGTCGATATCCAAGGGTTGCCTCAGTACTCTGCCGACAAACAGATCGTCTTCGTTTGTAACCACAACCACATGGTGAAGTCCCTCGATCTTAACCGGGATTGCCGGACTAGACCAGATATCGTCCTACTTCAATGGGAATCCTTTAGAAACCTAGCCTGCAATGCTTCCGATACATACTCCTGCACTTACGGGACGCAGATGTGTACCGCGGGCTCCAAAAACCTGGAGCTGGCATGGAAAAAGGTCCGATCAACGGTAGAAGTGAAATTTGACAGATTACCGAAGCAAGTTAGCCCGATGAGGCCATACAACAACAACTTTAAAGACCTCAAAGAATCAGAGTTGTGTTCCTCGTTCGATAATGACGTCTCATCTACTGGGTTTATCCGACAGGTGCAACCTGAGCTCAAATGCGAGTGCGCACCTCTCAGAAGCGATCTGTTACTTATTTTCCTGGGCAGATGGCTCCAGGGGATCGGATAGGGTGGCCGCGAGGAAGGGCCCAGTCACGTCGGAACATATCTCAGAATGGGCGTACTCTCGCATGAAGCGCAAGACAGAAGCGCTCAATGACCACAATACGACCAAACGATCCAAGACTGGGGGTGCTGCTGCAGGGAGTTCCGAACGTCCGGCGGTTCCGCAGAAGCATCCAGTCCACATTCAGAATGGGATCTACGCTGCAGAGAGGCTCTCCTGCTCCTTTGACATCACTCACGCTATCAACTTCATTTTACAAGGCGAGATTCAGCCCCGTAAATCCCGTCAAGTATAACTCAGGCTGTAATGTTTTAGGGAGCAAAATATACATTACATGGTCGGACAGGCAGAGTGTTATTCGAACGGGGGGCTTCGACATCACCAATGACCTGCCTCACTTCCTTCTGGTCCTACTCATTATGCAAAGGTTCGATCTGGCCCGCTGGGGTTTTTTCACTGCGTTCGAGGGGTCGAGTATCTACCCCGAACGAGGGCCCAAGGATTCAGTCTTCTTCAAAGCCACCTTCATCCGGGATGCTACGATTCATATCTTTCCTGATGATGATCTTATCTATGGTGGGGTCAATCTGACGGGCCGTTCGACCGTTGTAGCTGGGGCCAGGAAGGCTGACGGTTCGAATCCGAATACTTCTGTGGATATTCGAGAAGCCAACAACCTGGTCACCAAGGCTTCCTGGCCAGAGGAATCGCGGGCTAGTGAGGTGAAGATCATCGAGCGGGCGATGCAAATCGGTAAAACCAACAGCCTAGTGGAGGATCACATCCCCACGATGCATGGCAACATAGACCCTCCGTATGTAACATGTTCGACAAGGTTCATCCGGGAGTTTCTGAAGCTAGACACGACTGGGGAGCGACTGCTTCGCCTCATCATTCTCGACCGTTTGGGGGAGCTCAAGCATCTAGATGAGGAAGACGTGCTAATCGCATATTTGGACTGTTTCTTCTGTATGTTGTGTTTCCATTTTTTTGTGCTGTCCCTCAGCATTCAATCGCGGCAGGTCATTGGGGATTGTGGGAAGGGGATGTTTGCCATGGAGATATCAGCACAGGGAACCTGATGTATAAGCCAGGTACGAACCGTGGAGTTCTTATCGACTTCGACCTTGCACGATTGGACAAACAGAAGGGACCGAGTGGGAAGGACAACACTGGAACTATGCCGTTCATGGCCCTGGACCTCCTCAGTGTAGAAGCACTCAAGGGCTCGGTTCCACGTCTGTACCGACACGATTCGGAGTCTTTTGCATGGTGTCTCATTTACATCTGCATCTGCATGGATAAAGGAGATGATGGTAAAATTCTCACCATCAGTCCTCATCCTTTGTCATCATGGTTCAAGGACCCAGGTAACTGCTGTCATTCTAAGACTGCAACAGAAACGGCAACCCTTCTTGCAAGGGCTCCCCTTCACCAACGGTACACAGATTTTGCTGCAGAGTTACACGATTACTGGGTTCAGCGGTTCAATCGCCAAACACGGTTCAATCGCCAAATGGCTAAGAAATCAGTCCTGTTTGATCATGATCCATTCAAGGAGGATTTATCTGAAGACGTCCCGGAAGTTTTGTTGGCCAAGGATAGCAAAGCCACTCCGGAAGAGTACAAAGAACCCTCGGATTTGAAGTCATTCAGGGAAGTCTGTCTGCTAATCCCTCCACACCGCCATGTCATTCCGAAGTCCAAGGGAAAGATATTTGCTGGAATAATGGGACTCGTGGCTAATCGGTACCTGAACTAGCTCTATTTATATGTAATAATATTCAATGCCCATTGTTGCCGGGATTGTCCCATTTGATGGGAACTCGTGTGGCCATGTGATGTTACTTTGCTTGCAAGGTCACTTTCCAATGTCTCCTATCTAATCACAGTGGGTATTATGAATCATAATACTTGTGCCATGGCGATTTTTTGGTATCATAAAAAAGAGAAAAATCACACCTTTCCAACGGTGTAACGGGAATGGAAGTCCGGTAAACGGTTCAGGAGTTATGGCCAATTCATTGTCGTGCCCTATCGTGCCATTGGCCAGTACTCGGCCAGTTCTCAATATTATGGAATATAAACGAGTGTCCAAAGGCCGTATGGATCTCCTCTACAAGATGCAAAAAACCCCGAGTGAATAGCTGCCACGGTTACTGAGTTATTGAGGAAACAAAGTTGTGCCCTGAGTTTTAGTGTTTGAGCTCAAGTTGAGAAT